GATGTAAACGTAGAACAGAATCCTGGTATCTACCTCTCTTAATTTCTTAATGCCACAGTGTTTCACAGCTTGTTTGTACTGCTGCCCTCTGCTCGCTCTATAGGATTTTTATCTGTTGGAGATCTGCTGCATCAACATTATCTTCCCTGAGGATATGCATCAGTCTGTCATGTTGGAATTTATCTAAGGCCTTCTCAATGTCAACAAAGAAACACAGGGAGAAAACTAACGTACAGTATCTCAGGTTTAGGATTGCTTACTTTATTCTGGCTCCTAAACATAAAATGATTACAGGCTGACTTGTATCTTTTTCTCAGTGTATTGTTGTATGTTCCATCAAGAATTTAAAATATTTTAAGGGCATAGTTCATCAAACATATAGCTCGGTGTCAATCACTGTTTATGGCATTAGCAATTGTTATGTAAGAACTGAAGCTTTCCTTCAAAGTGTCCTGCATGTAATTGGTTAGAAAGTTTAAGATACTTTGTTTTGAAATATTAAGTGGCTAAAGTATTTCACCTATAATATCACCCTCCTCCAGTGCTCTTTCACGCTCTTTACTTTCTAGGTTCTATGTCAGAATTATCAGACCCTCTTCTGTGTGTGCCTGTGCTCAGGTTTATGAGCAGAACAATTTTAAATCTCCGTCCTGTATTCTTGCCTGTCTTTCCAGAATATTTTTTTATGTGTAACATACTTTGCTGGTTTTAATTTTCATATGACTAACCCTCTTTTATTCTTCAGAAATTTCCCAGTGCTCTAGGTAGGTTTTTTGGGGTTCCCTTGCACTTTTTCTGGTTTGTTGTGCAATTTTCTTAATTCCTTCCTTCTCTTATCTTTCTCTCATAGCTTCTATAACTTCCAGGATCCCTTCTGTAATCAATTGTTAGCTTGGTGTTGTATCTTTTCACCTCCCTTCACAATGAGGTGAGTTTATATACCAGAGTTCTGAAATGCCTTCAGTTTGCCTCTATGTTTTTCCTCTCTTCTACTCATTGACTCTGACTCTCCCCTTTGAAGCCTATTTCTCATGCTTGTTTCATTTTTATTTTGAATCTACCTAGAAAAATTTGAAATATTTTCTATTTAATGTTCTTTCAAGCTTAACTTCAGCTAAAGAATCTGTTGATTCTTGCATGGAGAATGAAGTTTTGATATTGCAATATATCTGATTTCCTGTAGGACTGGCTTTTGTGTTCGGCTGGGATGATGCTGAAAGCAGACATTCCAGATAACAAGATCATGTCTGTTTGCAAATTCAATCAACCTGTTTTCCCTTTTCCTCTTAAAAAAGCCAGGAATTCCCAATTACACTATCCATCCAACTGCTTTATATTCTAGCATTAGGACTAAGATCAAATTCTCCCAGCCTTTCCTCTCTTTGCCTGCTTTCCCCTCAGTTCTTTGTAAGAACCATTCTGTAACATCTTCTTGGAAATCTTCCAAAGGGCATGAAAGATTAAAATACAGAGTCCAGATGGCAAGGTGTGTAATCATACGCAGATCGTGTTCCCAGGCTTTTTTTTTTTTTTAAAGGTCTCCACATTCTGTGTAATGTCTTTATTCACCTTAAAGTATCATATCATAAACATTTCATATTTCTATATATTTAATTTCACAGAGTTCCATACCAGTATGTTTTTAAGCGTTTGCTCCCTCCCCCCCTGTGTTTCTGGAAGCTATCTGATTTTATAATTAAAGTTTATACCCCATGTGGTAATCTTCAATTTAAGGGTTCCCCTCATCTTTTGTATATCTGATTTTACAGAAGGCAATCACTAATTCACATTAATTTCAACAGATGGATGATTAACCCAAAATTGGTAAATTAAAAATCATATAAATAAGTAAATTAATATTTTCCTTAGATTTTCATATATCCTTGTAAATGTCTAACAAGTTTCAGTACAAAATAAATTTTTAAAAACTTTTGCATAATTATGGAATTCCACTAGAAAAAGGATATTAAGAAAGTTAAAGATGTAAATCAAGGAATTAAAGGAGAAGAAAATTCAATGTTAAGATGTTTCATCTTATCCTCTAACTGACTATAAAATTTTCTAGCACTGGTAAAAACAACACCATTTTCTCTACTATCATTCTCAGCTATAGCTGAACCATTTCAACTCAAGCTTCCCAAATGATTCAGCTTGAGGCAGACACTCAAAGATCAATCTGAATGTTTTAAATTTGGCAAAGGTAGAAGCATTTAAGAAGAGGATCTTGTACCAGTAAATACTTGGCAATCTGAACTACAGACATCCTCATTTGCCAGAGCTGTAACAACCTCCCTGATCAGGTCCAAGCAGCTGTTTCGGAGAAGCCACCGCATAGCATCGCAGCGCTGGCTGCACTTCAGTACCAGGTAACACAGTTTTCATGCACTGTGCTGTGAATAAAGCAACAGCGGTTTTAATTATCAGAAAAATCTTCTTCCCCATCAGCAAAAATTAGTGTCTCACCAGAGCTGGTGGAAGCTCTGAGCTTCACGAGATTGAGAACAAGACTGGACTGAGCATGAGAAGTCATGCTGTAGGATGGGAGCTGAGTGGTCCCTGGTGTAACTATGTATTTAAACAGAGCTACAAACCCTTCAGTCAGAATTTATTTGGCCTAATAAAGAGGAAAAAATTCATGAGATATTGACATATAGCATTTGTGTGATTACACACATATTTAAGAAATTTCTACTGTGAAGGTTTTAAGAAGAACATATATCAAAATAAGAAGGCTGCAACCAGCATTGTTTATTGCAGCATAAAAGGTCTAAAATGGTTTACTATAGCTTCCTAACAACCATTTGCTTTTAATCATTACCATATTAAAATACTTAGCAGGAAATGTCATTAGAATAAATATTGAACTGATCATGGAAATAAATAAATGGAATTAATTTGTTATTTGCCGATTTCCTCTGTGAAAAATACTGCTTGGCAAGATTATACCTCACATGTAAAAGGAATGCTGAAAAATGAGCCTGACATCAGTATGCAAGGTGCAGAATAAAAAATATGCAGGGAGGGATTTTTTTCCACTAATTAAGAGTAGTGGATTGTAACAAGATTCCTGGAGACTGGCGCTCCTTCCATAAATCACTTGAATTAAAGACTTCCAAACGAAGACATCTCAAGTTGATTTACCCTATCTGGATTTAATTTTGAAGTTTGCAGCATACCAGCTGAAACATCCCTACAAGGAGCTCACAAGGGCACTTGTCAGGGGTGACCTTTTAGTGCTGCTGTGCTCTCTTCTGCCCCAACAGAAGCAGTGACAGCCCCCAAGCCGAGGAGAACCTGCTTTTGCAAGCCTCACACTCTAGACTTTGGTCTCCTGTGGTTGACTCGACACATGCACAGATGGGATGCCAACATGAAATCACCCTGTAAAGTTTTAACATTTAAAGAGAACAATAAGAAAGTGATTAAAAGGGAGGCTGAATCTAAATCAGGAAGCCTCTGAGATGGCCTTGACCCAGTGTCTGGCACACACTGATCCCCCCATCACAGATCATCATAGTTGACTGGGGATTATAACTTTTGTCAGGTTATTTGAAATGTAGAACTGTCAGGGCAGCAGTTCTTATCTCATGTTTTAAATTATCAAGAAAAAAGAGCCTCTCCATGACTTTATAATACAAGCAATAAACAACGAGCACATGAGTTTTCTTGGGTATTTTGATAGAATGCTCACCTGTGTTAGATGAGGATAAGACTCACACAGCTGAGTTTCTGTATTTTAATGCTCTTATTTTCCTGGCTGGAGAACTGTCATTTTTATCAAAACAGTTATACTGTTTGGATTAAGCCTAACAGGGCCCTTCTGATTTTTTTAATGTATTTTCCATGCTATAAACAATAACAAACAAACCTTTCAAAAATGGCTTACATAGAGCTGATTTGGGATTAACCTTTTATGGTGTGATAAAAATAAAAAAAATAAAAAAAATCATCTTGTTATGTCATTCCAAAATTGCAAAGGCATTTTTGAATTTTGGAATTTGAATTGTCAGTTAAAAATAAGGATTGTTTTATATTTTGTGTGCAATATATCACTTTGTTGATGCTGTTGGCAAATTTTTGCTCTTCTAAAATGTTTAGCATTTAGCTCAGTGACATAAGCATCACATATAAATTCCTGTAATTGCTTTTAGCTAAATTCTACATACAGATAGCTTCCTTACAGGCTTGAAATAGAACAAAAACCTAGTCCTTTTAGGGGAATGAAATGCAGAGGATGTATTTGGATTCTGATGACTTCCTAGGATGGTTCATTCAAGATGCAGTATGAAGGTAGTTATCAAGGTTTTGACAGTGTATGGAGCAATCCATCCAGTATCTTTGTTTCAAATGTATGGGATGCAAATATAAATGCGCTACAATATCCTCCATTCCAGCACTGCAGCTACAGTCACAGGTTATTCCTTTTGGCTTGGTACGATTTACCTCTGTTTCACAGTGAGTGGTTTTTATGTTCCTAATCAATAAATTAGCTCAGTCGTTTTAGTTGCAAATCCTTCTTTAAAGTTACCTACTATGAGAGACAACAAATAATCAAGCGTGCAGGGTCATGTAGCACTGAATAATGTTTGCAGCTGGCACAGCCCAAACTAAGAGTTATTATGGAGTACTTTTTAGTTTTTCACGGAAATCTATCCGTATCTATAGAAACTCTGACCATCTGCACACAAATGTGAATTCCATAACTTCCTCAGTATTTTTATTAGAAAAGCTGCAAAGAGTTTACATTTTAAGGGCAAAGCAATCATTGTTAAGAGCTTCACCTCTTGTACTTTGAGAGAGCAAACATTAATTAAGGAACACCAAGAGCTAATGGTGCAGTGAACCACAACAGGTTGCACACACCAAAACCCAGATACACTCTGTATGGCCTGCAGAAACATTACATATAGCATAACCGTGTTTATAGCCCTGAGTTAAAATCATATAGAGCATGCTGATTTTGCAAAAATTGAAAGAAAAACAAACAATAAGACATTTACCTTCCACATCAAGGCACCTAGGTGGGCTATCTGACCAGATAAGGTTATACATGCACTCAAGGAACTCTGCCCCTTCTAGTTTATATCCAGGAAAGCATTGATAATACACCACTGTTCCTACGGGGAAGGAGGACTCGAACTCAGATATGTTAATGTAACTATGAGGAAGAACCAATGGCCTCAGGCAACCTGCAAATTAAGAAAAGGGAGGTATCTTTTATTATAAGGTGCTTATCTCAGTCATCTTCACACATCTTGGTTATAATTCCTAAATTGAGGAGTGCGGTATTTTTCATCTTCCCTACTATGACTGGCATGCCTACATCTCTCCCTCAGACACATATGCCTCATTATCCTGTTTCAAACTCTTTTATTGTTTAGCACACACGCTTTGCTAGTGTGGGATTCGCTCTCAGCAAATCCAGGAAAGGTTTACTGAAAATGACAGCATTTTGTTTCACAAACATTCACTGGCTTAGCAGATGGCAATTTCTTTTTGAGGTAGAATCTTTAATAAATAAAGATTGTCATTTATATAAACCATGAGTTTTATTCCTCTCTTAAAACTGGCAGGCACGTAAACCATCTTTAATATTAAAACTGCTCCTGTGACAAAGTGCACACAACTGTAAAAGATTTGCAGAGAGAATTAATATTTTGAAATTCCAGTTTGAGAAAGTCTAAAGGGACGTGACTTCCTATGAGCAGCCCCATGATAAACACTGAATGAGGGCTCAGATTAGGTTATCGAAAAGTTAAGGTACCTGTTATCACCAGAAATTGCAAATGTAGTCAGAGACTATGTTCTACTTCTGGAATTACTTCTGAGGGATTTGTACTATGGATGGTACTGAGCTGTGACAGTTACATGGGCACCAACCATATTTAGTGCAAGAAAGAGCAGTGAATTTAATGGATGACATGACTTTATAACATGTCAATCACATACATTCAGAGTCTGCTTTGAGCTGGTATTTAGATAAGAGGTTGTACTAGAGAAAAAAATTAATTCCTCATGGCCTTAGAAATGACCCTCTGGGTAATACTTAATACTGTTGATTTTTTAATTTGCAGTAACATGGAGGAAAGATGATTAGTAATTAGGGAATGAAAACCAGAATTATAAAGTTATGAGACTAATAGCAACTGCATTATGGCAAATCATAAATAGGTCTCTTGCCACCACTAGGAATTTGTGAAGGATGTTCATAGGACTCTCATAATTTTTAAGCCTGAAGGGGAAACTAAAATCAGTCTGAGAACGTCTTGTAAGATACTTGGCATCTAAAATAAAAAAGTTTCAGCAGCACTCCAAGTGGTTATTACCTTGCGATAGTCTTTTGAGGGAGAGGAATGAAAGCAAAAGGAAACAACAGAAAAAGCTTGAAAGCTTTTTACAGCAGACTGTACTACCAGAGCAATGGTTTTGATAGCTGTTTTACTAGCTGGTTATCCCCCTGCTCAAATGAAGCTTCAAGCATCCTATCCATGGGCTGCTGCTCATGATATGTGATCAGGGTATGATCATGTGCTCATGCTCATACCCCTGATCAGGTATGCTCCACACATAACACACCAGTTCCTGCAAACTGAGCAGCCCACTGAGCAGGACGATATAAGCAGCCTCCAGTGGGATGGAAAGAGAGAGCGCAGACTGCCTGAGCAAGACCAAGCTTACTCTCCTCTGAACTGTATCAAGGAAAAATTTGTACTGCTGGCTCAGAATTTTAATACTCATTGGGAGCAGGACAGAGATTTACTTGAATCTGTATGACAGCCAAGCATTTGTGAAAATCCCTAGGTCTCTAAACACCTCAAGCTGCTTGAAAACTTCATTTTAACATTTTTTACTAAGTAATTCACATCATTCCAGATCAGTAATTATCATTATTATCTTGTGGCAAAAATAGTTTGAGGTTGGATTCTTATGCACTCTACAATCCTTTCCCATTGCTCTGCCAGAAAAAAAAGGTATCTTGGTGTCATGAGACGCCCCTGCCTGTTGTAATGAAAGGGCCATAGAAATGTAACTGACAGCCTGCCTAGCACAAGTAGACAAGTGCCTTTGATATTACTAGTGCTTGAAATAGCAAAAAGAGAATTCTGGAGTGAATTTTGGAACAGGTTTCTAGAATTTGGCAAAATATGGCAGATACTTGAATCTGAATTGCCTATTCTCTACCTGTTTGGTAATTACAACACTTTGCGCTTGCACAATTGATTTAATAACTTTTATTAGCACTGCTTTTATTTCTAAAAGTAGTTAATATTGAGTGGCAGCAACTGATTGTGTTTCATAGTATAAATACAGCAACAGAAGAAAGTAACAAGCCAAGGGTTACTTGGGGTACTTTTGATTACCCAGTTAATACTGGCTCTCACAAAATATCCACCTGGATCTTTGTCAATAGAACCTACAAATTAATCTTATGAGCATTCATCTCACCTCACTGCAAGAGTTTTAATCTACCTTAATTAGACATGAGGTGCACCCACTCCCAAAAATGGGCTAGATACTTCATAGTCTATGACAAGGCCATGAGACACAGTTTGATGTGCCCCAAACCGAGAGTCCTAGCCATGGAGACCCAGACAAACTAAGCTCCTGTAACTTCGGACTCTGGCACCCATCAACCTCCTCGCTTTACAGCAGCAATGCCAAGCCCTGACTTTGGTGTCTCACCCTGCCACCGTCACTCCCAGCTCCCAGCCTGCTCTGACTCTGCAAACTGATGTGACAGTGTAATTGCCTACAGAGAACTGTCAGCTTTAGGAGAAAACAGATGGGTTTGAGGAAAGTTAATGCTAACCCAACCTTCTCCTTAGCACAGATAGGTAGTTAAAATCTCTTAATGCTGTTCAGAAACAGAAAGGTAATAGCAGCCCAGGGTTATTGAATTTCCATTCACATTTCTTGCAGTCTAAGCGAAGCTGGGATCCCATGCTACTAATAATACTAGTTCTACAGCTAATGGCTTTTTCTAGCCAAAATCATTCCTGTGCACACCCTGAATTTTCAGTCAATACCTATAGGTTTAATGGACTGTGAACCTGATCAACAATTCTGCTGAAAACTCTGATAGAAGAACAGGTTCCAGCTTCTCTCCCTTACCCCTGCCCACTGTACAAGACAAAGAAAGGTAAATTGCAGTCAGAAGCTTCGACGTTTCCAGAAATTAATCAGTGCAAAAATGTCAGTTGTCCATTAGATCCTTTGCTGCACCTACAGCTGATTTAACCTTGATTTTTTTTTTTTTTTAAAAGCAATGTAACTGTGTCAGATTTTAGACTAGCAAACAAAAAAGCAGTATTTAAAGTATTATTTTAAGTATGGATAAGTTCAGAAAGTAGCATCTTCTTTCCTACAGTGAGCAATGGGGAAGAGAAGTCAAAAAATCTTAGCAGTAGCACTATTCAAATACTGTACAGTGAGACTTATCAAGTTACTGACATCCTTACAGCTGTAGAAAAAAATATTGGCAAACTATCACAGGGTGCACGATCTATAAAACAGGATGTGCTGGTGTACTAAACCTTGACAAATGGGTAGATTATCCCATGTTCCATCGTCTTGACATATTGAAACCATGTTGTCTAAGTCAGGGTAACGGATCTGGAATCCTTCATGACAGCTGATTATTAACTTATCGCCAGTCCTGTATGTCTTGTTATGAATCTCTGCATCTTCAACATGTGGAACAAGGCAATCTGTGACTTCATGGAAAAAAAAGATAGTAACTTAATTAAAAAACCGTGGCTAGCTATTCAATTATCAAGCTCTTAAGCAAAAGTTATCAGTTAATGTAAGTGCTCTGCTTAAACTGTTTAGAAAATACACACATTTCAGTAAGTATGTCCTTTCCCTAGTTAACCATCAGTTACAAAGTCTATAGCACTGGAGTAGAGGCTGACGTGCTACAATAATGGATCATTCCTCCAGACTTTTTTAAACAAACAAAATTAAGAGCATTTAGGAAGACTGTTTTTAATTTTGTCCTTCCATTCATCACGTGTGCAAATTATGCCACAAAGTCTGACTATCCCAAAGTCCCATGTGAAGGCAGACTCTGTGACAACACTAAGGACAGGACAAAAGAAAAGATAAGATACAGATATGGCATGAGGAACATAGAAAAACTGCAGTTTCAGCAGAGAGACAGATGAAAATCAGATACATTTACAAGGGTTTATCCAGCTCCATTCCACAGAGTTCATTATGAGAATGTCTTCACTTTAAGCTCATTGATTCTGTTTTAAATCAGATGATTATATGCCTTTAGAGGGAGTGATTTTTAAAGCTCTGAGAAGCATATCAAGTGCTTGTAGAACACTCAACAAGGAAAATGACTGCAAACCTCTAGTGATATACAGGTATGGACTCTATTACCTGTCTGAGATACATGTATTAGACAGTCTTATATCTCACTATATATATAAGTGCCAAAGACTTCAAAATATAAAATAAAACCCAGAAAACTAAAAAAATTGAAATACTTTGTGGAAAGTAGAAAGAAAGGGTGAGGCAGGGTAAAAATCCCTCTGCTAATACTGAATAATTAAGAGACAAGCTAAGAGGTTATGAAGGAATAGTTCAGGTGATTCAAAGTTTATCCTCCTCCTCATAAATGCAAAGTGAGATGAAACAGAAGAGAGGAAAAGATGAAATATTGGGAAAATATAATCAAAATTATCTGTTTGTCTGCCAGCAGTTAATCCATGACAGAGACGGTGATACAAGTTTCCAGGTATCAAAACCCACTAAGTATTTCAAATAAAGGCAAGACAGTAAAAAACCCAGCATGTTTTATGTTGGTTTTTTTCCAACACTTCTACCACAAGAGACAGTTCTCTTCACTTAGGAATGCAATATTTATTTTAAAAAAAGGAAGTTTCAGAAGTCCCTTGAGACTTGTATAAAAGAGAAAGTTTTTGCCATTTTCATGGGTAATCCTCGATAAAGAGGAAGAGGCAACTCTAAATTAGTATTTAGCAATTAATTGTGAGCATACACAAAGTAAAGCGATAGCAAGTTTGTTTGTTTGCTTAGAAGCACAACTAGAAGCAAGATAAAGTGTCATTTAGCATAGCACATGCAAACTACTAAGAGCAAATGTATTTCATAATGTATTTATTAATTTAGGAAAACTAGGAGATCTATTATTCTGAGACTTCATCACTATATTTTATTAATATGAAGTGGAAGAGTTGCTTCCCCAGTTAAAACATACTTTCCTTTGCACCTTCTCATTATAGGGATGTTTTCTAAAATACATTGTACTTAGCTAACTTTTAGTGTGGGGATTGGACATATTATTAGTCAAAAATTCTCCCATTTCTCTTGTTACTTTTAGCTCTTTGGCTGCTGCTGCAGGTACCTCCTGCTGCCTTTAACAGGAAGGGATGGTGGCCTGAGAACCTCCAGCAAGAGATTTTATTAGATTTTATTAATTTATGAATGTCCAAGCCTGGGAGGATGTGTAGCCTAACAGAAGGTTGTAAAACACACTGGGCTGAGGAAGCAGCCATCACCTTCAAAGACTGGACAATTTTTTTTTCTCTCTCTCTGGCAAGTTAATCAGCAGAGGAGACAGCAGAGGAAGAAATGCCTGATGCTAAGCCTTGAATACTGTCATGAAGAGGCTGCCCTGGGCACCTCTGAGGATGGGATGAGATAGATGGGGATCCTGCTCCGTAGCCATGCAGGAGGACTTTGGAGATGGCTGCCAGAAGATAATGTCAATGAATAGCTCATTCTCTTTCACAAAGCTTTCTGTTGCTCTACAAATAAAAAAGGTGTGTATACATACATTGCAGTAAAATATGAGATTTCACTTTCAAAGTGGAGGAAATAGATTCTGTAACAATGATCTATTACAGCAACTTCATCCCCATTATTCCAAGTAACAGCTATAGATGGAATCATTTTAATCGGCTAGATGTTGGCAGAGAACAGTGATAAGTTTCTCACTGTACCATCCTTCGCCTGCTACATCCTGGCTGACTTTGATAAGAGGCCTATTACAAGCCCCAGCTACTCACGAGACCAGTGGGCCACAGTATTACAGCTCTTTTTCCTGATGCCTTGTGAGCAAATGCTTTCCCACTGGCTGAAATCTAGCTTTCCCTCTGGTTTAACACTTAGTCAGGCACAAACTGCAGTAGCTGCCTCTCGGCAAACAACTGGATTAGCTGGCGTGGATTCTCCGTGGAAAAAAAGCTGAGAATAAGTGCCTGGATTTTAAAATGTCCTGTCCTAGAAAATAAACTGCTTTATTCTCAGTACTTTTCAGCAAATCTGTGGAAGCTGCTAAACCATTTAAGGGAATACACGGTTTTCAACCAGCATCCACTAGCAATGGCTATGACTTACACTCCTTTCTGGCAGTTTTACATGATCCTGTATGAATACTAAAACAGGTCAGCCGAAATAATGCCCTAGTTAGGAACACATTTCTTATCTTGCAGAGGTACAAAGAGGTGGGGTACAGCCTGCCAGGTGCAAGGGCTCATCTTTACCTAACTTTCATGAGGATGCAGCTTTGTACATTACAAGTTCTTGGTTTTAGGAAATCAAGTGTGTCTCTCAACACCGGAAGACTGGTCTGAAGAGTAAAATTTGTTAAACACTACCCTTATAGTGCTTTAATTTATGTGCAAACCATGTGTGATCTCTCAGAACTGTTTCTCGCAGCCCATGGGGAAGGAGGACCACCCTCCCTTCTCCCAAGAGCACCTGGACCATAAAGGTAACTCAGAAGGAAGGTATGACCTGGACACTATGGAGATAGCCACACTGTCCATGGGTACCATCTGGCTTGTCATAGCTTGTGGCTATTGCAGGTGAACTCCTATCCTCCAGAAATTGTCCCTGGTCCATACTAATCCAGAAGGTGCTTGTAGGAATTGCTTGGGGACTACTACTTAATATTGGCCAAAACCACGTCAGGAACCTTTCTAACACTGAAACAGTATGTGCAATTGAAGAACAGTGTCCTGGCCTGTGCTCTGAAACTGTTTTGTTTACTAGTCTGTATGTAAACTCAAATGCAGAGGTCCAGGCTTCCTATATGTCTCACTGTGGAGTGGTCTGGTCTCTGAATTAGACTTGACTACATCTAGCCACAACACTGACAGGCTGGAACAGAGAGGAACAGGGAAAAAGGATGAAAGGAACATCATGAAGAATGAGTTGAATGCAGGGACAGCTCAATTGGACCCTGTGCTCTTAAAAGTAAGCATTTAAGATTCATATTATCTCTTGTTTTTTACTAGCATGAAATCCCTAGTACTGTGTTAATAGGATAGTTCTGTGGATGGCAAACACAGTATTTCAGTGCATATTAAATAACACCTTCTCTTCATTGTCTTTGCTTGTATTACAATAGTGCACAGAGACTTCACTTAAGATCTGTGGCCATTGCGCTTAGCACAGGTTACAAACCTCATCTAGTGCTTGGAACTGGGCTTAAGGATCAACAAACACTGGGTAAGACAAATAAGAGATAGAGAAATAAAAATATTTCAGTCATCTCACAGATCCAGGGACAAAGGCAGAGAGAAATGAGTGCTAAATGTCATACAGGAAAACTGTAGCCAAACTATGTACTAGTTCATTACTTTTACTGTGGTTTATCATCCCTGTCACTGGGAGAATGAGGCACTGAGGACATCTTGAAGGTGTCTGCCTGCAGAAGCACTGGGAGAGAAGGGTAAAGCTCTTTGCTTGGTTGCCATCCCCACGTACACTGTAAATTTAGATTCAATCTCACAGGAAAGAGGGAGCATTTGTTCCAAGTAGGGCAACAGTCTCAGCAGACACATTATCACAGTGGGAGAAGATTAGATTAAAGTGTGAACAACATGACATATTGCTCTTAAACAGTAAATACAAAATTCCTGCCTTAGAGCTTTGGTATTTATGTGCATAACCATATTAGAATTGATGGAATTTTCAGTCACAACATGCTGTAGATCAACATGAGAACATAACTCTAAGCACACAGATTTTTGACAGGGTATTTATTGGGCACCTAGTCATGCAACTTCATTCTCATACTGACACTTAAAATCTCCTGCCTCTTAACAAGAAATGACAGACCTATAAAATCAAATTGATTGGATGAAGAGCTCCAGGTGAATGGATTAGTTTTAAAATCAATTACATTCTGAAATGGGTTGCTTTGCTTCCTGTAAATAGTGTTTTCTTGTGATTAGAGATTGTTCTAGTAAACACATAATGACAATTAAATGCACATAACATATAGACATAAAATTATATGTAACCATCCTTAGTTGAATCCAAACTTCTGAGATTAACTTAAAATGAACTGCAGTATTGAGTGTTTTTACTGTTCAAGCTCAGCTGGCAATATCTGACATTTACACACACTGGGATGAGTGGCATACGATAGCAAACATGGCAATCAGCCCCTGTCTTAAATGGGTAAATGCAATATAGAGTTCATTTTGCCTTGTGATAGCTAATGATGAATGGTAAAACATTAACTTCTTACTTCTCCAGTAGTTGCTACAGATTTCAAATTTCTTTTTATACATCATTATAGAATTTCTGCCATGAGGGCTTTTATGTATGTCATTAGACATCTGAGAATTACAAACCCTGCTACAATTCCTCTTTAACTGCTCTCCAGATGTGCCACCTTCCTACACTACCCACCTCTCTGTTGTCCTCCTCTCTCATGATTCTCCTCCAAGTACACAAAAAAATATTATCCTAAAAAGCACTTAAGCAAATGCTTAGGTCTCGCAGATCACCACTGAACCTTTGCTTAGTGTTTCTTCTGAATCAGTGGTTGTAGTGTACATTGGAAAGAAGAATTAATTCTGTAATCTATTTTTTTTTCCTATTGCTAAACTCTAGGATTCTTTTAAGAATACCTGAGTATTAGTATGACGTTAATCAGGAAAGGACTTAAGCACTTGCTTCACTAAATCCTAAATCAGGGTCCTGCTCTTCAGTCCAAATAATAAAAAGCATTTCTGTGTATGCCTAATTTTGAGCACAGAACTTTAACAAGACTAATCATATAATTACAGCTATGCTCGAGCTTAAGTGCTTTGCTTGATCAGAGCATTGGCTTGCAATCCTTTTTAAGTGTTCTGTGCTGTAAAGTAATTATCTTTTAAGCAACTGTTGTTACATTATCCATCACATTCTCATCTTCCAGCTTCTTTTTTAAAAGCACTTGGCTCAAGTGTTGATCACACTGACATCAGTGGCAGTTTTGCTGTTGATGGCACTGTGATCAGAAACTTCCTCCACAGATTTCCACTGGACTGGGGGGGGCCCAGGAAGAGGTTTGTATATTCAATAAAACATGTTAATGCTTATTTTAACAACTGCAGTGGATAATGCAGGTACTGTGTCAAAGAGGCACATCAAAATTCCTAGAAGCTACCTGAAGTGGTTAAGAAAACAGATTTTCCAAGCATTACAGCTTTTTCTGGTATTTCAAATACCCAGTTTAGACATATGTTGCTGTCACTCTACACATATTTTTTCTTAAATAACCATGAGATGAGAGACAAGGGCATTTATGAAAGGTGGCTGTAACAGGAGAGGGCGTGAATTTCATACATACATTATTTTGAAAGGCATCAGGTTGTTTCTTTGAAGCTGCCCCACTACATCATTAGGACCAGATGTTATTGGCCCTGTTGCCTTTATGTTCTACACACCAGCTGTCACTGCAGCGCATATTCCAAGACAGCTCAAGAGTGTGTCCCCCACAGCCCTGTAGCCTCTGGCCTCACACGTGTCCAGGAGTCCATATTTTACCAAGACCTCTCCTGCCAACAGGAGCAGGATTCTCATACCCACCCACCCATCAGCAAAAACAAGGACCAGCAGTTTTCATACATGCTGGGTGATTCTTGATCCTATATGGTGCGTTTATGAGACATATAAGTCTTTGACTACTTTTCAATGAAGCCCATATATTTATCTGATTTTAAATGATGGAAGGCATCCTGAAATATAATTTATCTTGCTCCACCTTGAAGACAAGGAGGCAATGGCTAATGACTTCAGTGGAGAAGTCACAACACTAAAATGTACACACTTGATTTAATGAATGCTTTTCATGTCTGTTGATTTTAATAGTTCTGTGGACCAAAAATAAATAAATAAAAATAACAAATTATAGCTTTAATATACTTGGTGAAATAAATCATTTGTGCTGCTTGGTTGTATTTTTGCCCAAAATTTACATTTATGATATTCAAATTAATCCTGCCTCTATCTAACTCCTAGAAGAAGAAAGTAATTTAATGTCCTAATTATTTAAAACTAAATACAATTTCAAAAATGCAATACAATAAAAATAAATTAGTTTATGCCATAACAGTCTGAATTATCTCAAAGTAAACTTCTACTGTGACTTTAAGCTTTTGCAGTCCAGGCATATTTGATTTTCCTACTTGAATCATGCACACGTTATAAAATATAATTGGCTAAAGCTCCTGATTAGCAGCAGCAGTAGCACTGGAAATTCATTATATTTTCCTAGTAAGATATTACAGAAAGGAGTATTAAGTGGACAACTTTAATAAAGAGTTACAATTTACTGACACTGGAGGTTGTTTTTTCTCTCTACATCGATTTGTAGCTATGTGAAAGGAGAAATGTATTCTCTTTTTTCCTTCAGATTTCTTTATGTCCCTTTCAACACATGTGCCCACGCACACACAGAGCCTCTCACGGTATAAACGTACCTGACAAATGGGGATTATGGATGGGATGGATGGGAAACTAAAGTATGTATCAAATAAGATGCAGTGAAACGGATGCCAATCTTTTGAGATTTGTGCTGAGACACACGAACATGGTACAAGGACCAGTGAGAAGAGCTGACACTGGTGAAGTGCTTTAAGAAAATCAACTTACCTTCTTGTAGGCACACAGGTTTATCACTTGGTTTCCAGCTCAGGGAGCCATTAAAGTGTCTCACACAAAGTTTTTTTGAAGTACCATTAAGCCTGTATCCTTCTTGGCAATGAAACCGGACTACCACACTTTCAAAGAAAACACCCGCACTGGGTGTCTTGTATCCATGTTCAGGAGCTCCGGGATCAGCACAAGCATTTAGGTCATCATATCCTATGTCAGACAAAGATACAATCAAACTGTGTTCATTTACTCCTCATATAGCAATAGTCATGCTTTTTCTAGGTTTTTCCATTTCACATCATCTTTAATGTCCACTAGCAACCCTACCTGGGTACTCCAGAATCAGGAGAGGACCAACCTCCATCTACAGCAAAAATACTCAGGTGACAGAAATACTCCCATCTTGTTATGCAGCTACTGAGGAAGCAAAGTCAACCACACTCTTCAGTAGCTGACCTGTATAAAATAAAGCACTTGACCCAACCTGCCCGTGGGGATTGCACAGTAACGTGTCTGTAATTACCCTTGGGGACTATGGGATTTTGGAGGTCTGGTACAGTCACTGGAAAGAATAATAATGTGTCAGAAGCTGAGAGGAAGAGGAAATAAAGAAAAGGACGTGAAGCCTAACTGCCATCCAAAGACACAGTAACTAAAACCGAAGATGAGCTGCTAGGTACAGGGACACTATGAGCTGGGAGGGAGCTCTGCCACAGGGAAAAGGAATACTGGATGTGTCCCTTTTGGATGTATGTGATCCCCCATCACGTTAGCTTGGTGGCCCTACCAAATTCTTAAAACACTCTTAGGGGAGTGCTGTATTACTGCACTGATGCCAGAAGGGAGTTTGGAAAGCCCTTTACTTCCACAAAATTAACTGCAAAATAACAATCAAAACTCCAACAGTTGCAATCATAAAATGTGACTGTTTATCACTTTATCAAACTAATTTCAACATCATTTGCATAAACTGAAGCTTTTTTTAACTGCAAAGCAACAAAGATTTAGTGCAGCACTGAATAAGTACCGCATACTGAAAGAGCAAATAGCTTTGCAACAGACACAGCAAGGGGGCAATTAATGCTGGTGGGAGGGATGCCTAGAAAATTTGAAAATCATTGCATTGTAGCTTTAATGTTTTGAGTTTAAAAGAATGGTATCAGAGACCCTCAGCTACTTCCTGCATGATAAGCATGAAGCACCTTCATGGTACAGTCAGAGAGAAGGAAGATATTACAGTAGAAGACTGTAAAAGAAATCTCTGTTTCCTGAGGTCAAATCATTCCCTCCACTGAAGGGCTGTGTGATGCTGTGGCAGCCAAATGGAGAGCACTGAAGGTGGTAAAGGGCTCTTGCATTCGAACACTGAATTTCTGCCTTCAGTCCCCTGGCTGAAGGCTGCCAGCAGAGAACAGAAGCAGCACACACCAAGCCACGGCAGTGTATGGCCAATTACCCGCCCCTGCTAGCAGAGGCAGGGCACACCATGGGCTCACCAGAGAGGATTGCAATTTTCCTGACTCGGTACACAGCTGATTTTATATAAGTCCAAGTCACTGTGCTGAACTCCCTCACCAAACTACGATTTCCAGGAGGTGACCTGATGGCCAGAACCCGGCCCAAATAACTACATGCCGTGTATGCCAGAGACAGCCTTCACCTAGACTCAGCCTCTGCCCCTCTGCAGTGTTGATACCCAGGGTGCTTCATCTAAGGAGGTTTCACTAGTGTCCTCTTTCTTTGCACTGCTGAAGCAGCACGAGAGCAGCAGAGCATCTGCTCTTATGCGGTTTTAATCCTCCATCCAGTGACATTTATCATGAGAACTGAAAGGTCAGAGCAGTAGCCAAATCAAACAAGTCTCTGAACTTCATCCCCACTCATCTGCCGCATGGCTCAAGACCCCCAGTACAAATTGGCCAAGACTCTCTGTCATTTGCTAACATGACGAACAAGGAGAAATACAGTCATGTTCATGGGATTACACTCTGTTGGCAATACGTATTAATAGAGAAGGTCTGTCCATTTTTACTGGAGATTAAAAAGAAGCTTCTTGTGCTTCAGACAGCAAACTCACATCCTTCAATAAAGTCAGCGACAATCTTAATTATTTTCCATTAAACCACAGGATAACATGACATTTAGCTCAATTTTGTTTCTTCAGTAATCTCAGAATTTGCAGTCAGGCAAGGAATATTATAACCCACCTTGAAATATGTGTCCTTTCTCACTAGCTGCGTCAGGGAAAAATACACAACTGCCTACTACTATGCCTCTGCAACAACAGAAAACAGAAAGGTGCTGGGGGTCACATACAATTTGCCTGGTAAAAAAATGTGCCAAGCTTATTTCTCAGTTTTCATTAAGTCAAATATGCACTGTTAGAGATTTTGGGACTGTCAGCACAAAACCCAACATAGAAGGCAAGAATGTTTTTTTCCCTGGTGCAGCCTAATTTTGTCCCCCTACTGTCACTTTTCTGGTGACCTTTCACAAGCAGAGATTTTCATTCCTCCTAGGGATCGTTTTGCAGTAAGTTGGTCTCAGGTTCTTTTTCCTGAGCACAGTTTGTGAGCAGACAAATCGATCCCCAAGGGGAATTCCCAAGAAAGAACTGGAACACAAATGGAAAAATTGAATTATGTACCCTCTAGTTTCTACAAAGGCAGTAGCTAGCTGTTATTCAGCTACTGAATAAGAGATGACACATGGAATCAGTACAGGATCACTGCTTCCATGCAGCATTTCCATTTTTTTCCTGAAGCAAGGAAGAAGGAAAAAGGCTCAGGGAATAGCCAGTTCAGCGGACACATGCAATACGGTAAGTTCTCCTGGTAAGATCATAAAGGCAAAGCAAACAAAACCCCAACACCATCTTTTCTCCATAGGTATCAACACTAGACTTGCCCCAAATCTTAGTCCTACTAAAATCAGTGGAAGTCACTTGTATAGCAAGCTTCTTTTTGAAGATGTGTATGATCCAGGCACAAAGCAGCAAAGCCAGTGCTGTGCCAACTCTTCCTGTGCTTTGGCCAAGAAGAAGGCAAGGATACGTGTGAGGGAGGTACAGTGGGGCTGACCACTGTGCTGAGGATCTCCCAGTGCACAGAGGGCACAGCAGAGCTTTTGAAGGGGCCATTACAATCTAGAGAAGCCAGGAACTGCTCTGCTTTTCACCAGGGTTGCTCCTCTCTTGCACAGCCTTTTCCAATTTAAGTATGAAACTGTTCATACAATATTCAAGAACAACAATGCTGAAACATGCTTCAGAATTGTCATCTTCCAGTTGTCCTTAATGGTATCAGACTTGGACCCTTTACATAATAATATTTTCCACATAATCTCATCTAGTTAAGCTCCACCCTATCAAAAATGAATAAATGCATGCCTTCAATGAAATACAGCTTGGTAAATTACATCTCTTTTTTTTTTTTTCTCACGATCTTTAGTGAGAAAAAAGTTTCAAACCTTTTCAACCTTTTTCAAAGTTATGCAGTTAAGAGCAGCTACTCAAAGTTGTGATATAGTATTTTTATATTGGCAGGAGTAATCTCATGTTATAGACAAGACATCTTTTGCTTTGGTCCTTTTAGAACCCGATGAAACCAGCCAAACCTGTCTTCAGTCAGAGTCACAAGATAAGTCTTTGGAAAGAACCGTAAAAGTAACATAAATGGGAAAGTCAGTCTTTTGGTTATAACAGAAAGGCTTTATCCTGCAGGAAAGAGTATATAAAATAAGATTAAAAAACCCTTAGAACTACAATGGATTATTTTTCTTTATAAACCTTTAATGAGTCTCTGGGGAAAAGAATGAAATTTTACTTTGACTACTGGACTTTTTCTCATGGTTACAAAGAGGGAAGGGGGAATCATCAGCACCTCTTAGTAAAAACTATACAACACAGTTGCCAAAAAAAGCAGGAAATTTTCATGTTATCTACACAGTAAAAATTTAGTAAGGTCAGCAGCTGTCATCACAATCAACACTGCATCACCAGCAACAACTTTATGGGATGCTATTGTATGGCTTTAAAATCCCTAAAGTAAAGACTACACAATTACTGCTGGAACTGACTATTTCAGTAATGAAAATAGCTTAAAACTTAGTCTAAGCTGCAGACTTTCAGTATCATGGCACTTCTAAGGGATATTGTGTAAAATATAATGAACAATAATACCTTCTGATAAGGTTAATGAGTACGTAAGGTCATCATCACCAGTAAAACTGGTGATACAGTTGATACAGTATGTATTTTCGTTGTGATATTTACCGTATTTCTCCTGCTGGACCAACAGGAGGTCATCAGAAAACAGCAATGCTCTTAGCCTGGATAAAACATTTCCCTATGTTCCTATTTTACCTAAATTACTTGGTATTGTCAATCAGAGAAAAATGATGTCAAATTAATCAGAAGATTGAAAAAGAAGCAAGGCCCTACTTGGGGTGTAAAATGAACCATTATAATTCATTTGAATGGACTGTATTTCTAGAATTCTGTATTATATGTTCTCAAAATTATAATGTTTCATCAGGGACAATGTTTCACCTTGTCCCCCATGAAAAGCTTGAAATATCAGAAGCCAGGGGAAAGCTGAACTCAATCATCTTAAAGGTCTTTTCCAAGCACAACAATTCAATGATTCTATGAAAATTACATATTTGTGATGACAAGAAAACATGATCACTACAACTGAACTTCAGACATGCCTGAAAAAAGGCAGGAGGAAGAATCCCTCAGCCCTTCCTGTCATTCTCTATTTCTCCACACCTTTTTCTCAGTTTCCTCTTTTGTTTTCCTTGTTTCCCTCTTCCCTCACCTCCATATCTTACAGTTCCTTGTAAATTCATAGTGCTGGCGAGGTGATTTCTAATCTGGATTTGATGGAGTTCTTTGCCTCTAAAACTGCTATATAGCATTGCACTGACACACTGCTGATGCATGTCAGCTCAGAAAAGGCTGCACTCACTCTTGAACAGAGACATCACTCTCATTCCAGTTTGTTACCTACACACAGTGAAGGAAAAGTGACATGTAATGTGTAATAATATTAAAGACACAGAGTATTTTCATTATTTGTCTTCAGTAGGATGGAGAATGGGCTTCTTGTACAGCAACACCTGCATTTGGGTTCACTAAATCAGCAAGTCCTTTCTGTCTCAGTCAGTGGCAGAGGGAGGCAGAAGCTTTGCAGCCTGCGGCAGGACCAGACTGACTGCATGCACATTGTACAAGGAGTCTGTAAACACTGCCGGAGCAGTTTATCTTAGGCCAGCTCTCAGTAAAAAGCCATATTAGGACTAAAGCAGAAGAGCCACAAGTGCATACATGCCAAAGGCCTGCTTGTCTTGTACAAAGGAAAA